AGCCTTGAGGACGCCCCCTGACCCCACCCGGGATGTTGAGTACCTAACGCTGCGTTTCACCTACACGCTGGGAAGCGAACACCGAAGGCCCGGCGCGCTGCTGAGAGCGCGCGCCTGATGGTGACTTCGGCTCCGCGTCGAGATGCGTCTCCGCGGGACCTGGAGGTTGCTGACCCTTCGGCAGATCCCTTCCCAGAGGCGCGAGATACGCCAACTTCTGCCTAGGGATACCAGGCCATCATCTAGAGCCAGGAAGGAGCACTGGAGGCCCGGAGCAGCTGCTGTCCGGAGCGCACTCCTGTCGGCAAGATTGGCCCTGCGTCGACTCCTTACCTCGGGACTCCGCGGGGCTTTGAGACGGCCGACCCTCCGGTAGCACCGACCTGGTGGCGCGCAATACGCCAATGAAGATTACCGACAATGTCGTACTTGCACGGCTCCCAAGACCGGCCCATAGATATGGGCTGTGAGGATTACCCGGGTAATGGGGAACCGCCCGAGGCCCGAAACCTACATGGGATAAAGAACAGTAGTCCCATAGTAGATGACAATAAAAAAAATATACGTAGCGCTGCCAGGCGGCAGGAATGCATAATGCTTATCGTGATAACAACATTACGCTTAATCTTAAGACTTTATGCAGAATACATTTAAATTTTCTTATTGACTAAGATCTATTTTTATAATAGAAAACGAAATTATACAAGTAGTTAAATCACGTATTGTCGTAGTTTTTAAATTACAATAAAAACAGAATTAAACAAGTGATTAAATTTACACTTCGTTGCTAGCATTTCTAATGTAGTTTTTTTAGATTATAAATAAGAATAAAGTTAAAATAGTAATTAGATTCACTTTTCATTACTAACACTAACAGTCTTTACGTAATTTCTGATCACAAATAAGAATAAAATGGAAATAAGCAATTAGATTCACTTTTCGTCGCTAACACACATATTAACAAAAAACAGAAATTTATGCACGGCTTACTTTACAAAGCTTTCCCTTTAAATATCTACTACTATTTATTGGTTATAGTTAGTATTTATGGTCTATAAATATAAACATATATTTTATACGACACGTAACGTAATTAACGCACTTTGAGAAAGTAGTTTGTTCAGAATCGTTTACTGAATCGATTCCTATCATTTTTAATATAAGTAATTTTTTATCCCAAAAATAATTAAAACTACGTAAATTACAGTCACACTAACTCTGTACAATCAAAACAAACTGAAATGGACCGTAACTTAAGGCAATAAGACTTTTAAGAGTGCAGTTTTATTTGTATTATTACTAATTCTGTCCTTCAATAAAAATAAAGAAAAATGAACTTTATTTCAAGCACATTAAAGTCTTTGCGTTCGTGGATTTGCACTGTGACCACAACATTCTTTCGGAATTAGTATAACTAGTTTGATAAATAATCAGTGCATAAAAATGTTTAACTAAAAATTCAGTGTATGTATTATGATTATAACATAATATACTAATTGGGGTGTCTGAGGGTGTGCTTTAATGACGTTACATATTGTAATATATATATATATATATATATATATATATATATATATATATATATATATATATATATATATATATTATTACTGTATATATATATTTATTAATATTACAGTATTTTGAATTTGCAATTACTGCTATAATAACAATATCAATATCGATATTGGGCACATAGCTACTATGACAATGTTTGAAACAGCTTTTCTGTTTGTTCATAACTAAGCGTAAGTAACCAATTTCGTATTTTAATTCTAACCGTGTTCGTCGAGCAATTTTTTATGTCGCATGCCTTCATAACTTTATTAGCCACACATAAGACAAGTAGCTGCCGAAATGTAAGTACTTTAATATCTCTGTACAGTTTAACTGTTGGACACCTGTATTTCTTGTTAAACATAACTTTCAGGACCGAACGTTGAGCTCTCTCAATTCTCATCATGACTGTTTTGGAAGCGCTTCCCCAGCAAGAAATACAATACGTTACCAGAGACTGACATAGGGCATAATAGATGGACATTAATGTGCTCAGGGGTGCAGAGTTTCTCAGAGTTACTCATACACCCCAGTACTTGGAGACAAGAATTGGAAAGCAATTTTGCTGTTCGTGATTTGCCAAACGTACCTTCGTCGACCAGCTTCGAATGCGAGAGAAATAAGAGAATTCACTTTTTTTGCACTAAACCAACAACAAAATCTGCCTTAAGAGGAAACACCACGGCCGTTTTCCATACAAAAGTAGTCCCCTGTTTCCTACCTGGAAAATGTCAGCAGAGCAATATTTTTTTCCATGGCCACTATTGGCATGTCCCTGTTTTTCTTATTTTCATAAATCAATTATTAAAAGAGAATTGAATCTTCAAAAACCTAAAATATTGGCAAAATTTTCAGCTGTGTTCTAACATCCACAAAACCTTGACTAGTTTATATAGAAAAAAGGAAAAAATAGGAACACGGCCAAAACCTTTCTTTAAGATAATTGATAGAATCAGGTGTTACTTTGCGGAAATCCATTATAATAAAAATATAAATTACTTCGCAACCTTCCGCTAGCTAAATACAATGATGTGTCTTACCTGGATTGAAGAGCACCTCCCACCCTCCCTCAATGCATGCACTAACTCCGTCACCACTACTTCCAACAGCCCTATTCCAGGTAAGACACACCATCGACGATAATACGACACGGTTTCCATGGATGACACGATGACCGTGTCGGTATGAATTGGCTTTCGATAAATTTGAAAAACATGCAACAACTCCTTTCTTGTTATTGTTAAGTCAAGGAAATTAAGGGAGCAATCTTGTTCCAATTCAAGCATAAATTAAATTTTTTCATGGACTCTAATTATTTTATTAAGGAAAACATCCAGTAGTCTCCTTGTGCCAGTCCAGCAAATAGTTATGTCGTCTACATATCGATAATAGCATAAGATATTTTGGTTAATAACTATATGTTGTTTTTCGAAATTATCCATGAAAATATCCGCCATAAGTGGACTTAGAGCCCCATAACTAACGCTTCTTCTTCTCTTTTGTAGATAGAAACAGTTATTAAACCGGAACGGTTATGAAACAAAATTTCCAATGTTAAATGTAAAAATTTGATTCTTAATTGAGTAGATGTTTATGGGCCACAGCATTCACTTACCATTACTGATTGTGTGCTTGTTTGTTACCATTATTCTATAATATATATACACTTTGAGGAGAGTGACATAGGCCACTTTTGATCATCGTGCTTCGCGCTTACTGACCTGCCTGCTCGACGTGGTATGGTCTATAGTTAAGTCTTTGATGTATTGAATGTCAGTGAGCGCCTTCTACTTTTTTTTTTTTATAGAAGAAGGGGCAAACGAGCATGCGGCTCACCTGATGTTAAAAAGACGAAAGATTTATTTCCAGCATTGGACTAAAAGCGGTTGTTGATGATAAGTGAATAGCTTGGAATTATAATAAAAAAAACAGTATTTTTTTAACAACTATATTGCTACATTTTATACACCCGCTTCATATTTAATAAATAGTTACATATCTTTATAATTCATTGCTTTTTTAGGGAATGACCAGTTTTGGCTGGTAGTGGTAGTCCTATATATTTATAAAAATGGATGTCTATAGCTTATCACTTAGCTTTGACTGTAACTTAAAAACTTCGATAATAAGTCATTTTAGACAATTATTTAGTCATATCTGTTAACAAAATAAATAAAAACATTTTTTCTTTTAACTCTTCTTAATCCGTCCACAACCTGCAAATAACAATATTCATATAATAAAAAGCATAATATAATAGACAATAACATAATCGATTGGAGGATATAGAATCAGGGTGACCAACGAGCACACAGTCCATCTGATGGTAAGTAGATGCTATGACTCATAGACATCTACATCTATCCTCTATTAAGAATCAAAACGCAGATGCGTTGTCACCCGTGAGGACTGAGATGGAATGCCTCGTTTCTAGTAAAAAAGAGTCTTCGAATCGCTGCACTCACCATACGAAACACAGCAGTATCAAACTACTATTTTACGCTGGTATTATGTGAGAGCGTGGTCCTTCCCCGGTCGAGCCGACCCATTCGTACTACAACCATAATATAGCTGCAGCGTGGCTCTACCACGTATAAAAATCTAATAAATCTTCTTGATAACAATGGAGAATAACACTAAGCTGCTTTGGCCAACTCACCTACCGAGCAAGGCAACTAGGGTGAAATTCCCCTAATTAAGACAATTTAAGGAGAGGCCGTGGTAGCTCAGATGGTTAACACTCGCTGTAAATATAACACAACGCGACTAACCTGGGTTCGATCCCTGCCGGCACCAATGAAATTGTTAATTGCAATTTTAAGTACTGATTTACCACGTATTCGGCGGTGAAGGAAAACAGCGTGAGGAAACCTGCATGTATGAGGAATAAGAAGAAAATATATTTCAGACACGTAAAATTCGACAACACGCATTGGGGCGCGGCGGACACTTCCTTGCCCTGAAACCCTCTCAGAAATGAGGGGAGGCCTGTGCCCAGCAGTGGAACGTATATAAGCTGTAACTTTAAGGAGAGGCCCATATGCAGTGGTCTTTTGAAAAGTTGTTATGAATAATAAATATACAAGGTCTCTCTATTACCAAGTTTAAATATTTAACTAAACAAAAACTGTATAAAAAGAGTTATTATGATATAAATGAACACATGGTCGGTAATAACCCCTGGGAATGAGGTGGTCGCTTCCAAACTGTTTCTAAAATAATTTTTTTAAATATTTTGTGACCCTTGGCATTGTAAAATTTATTTTTAAAAAAAAGTCTCGCCGGATTTCTTGCTGGTTCTTCTCAGGACCGAGGTTTTTTTCGAACCAGTTGTAAAGTAAAATATTGACTTGCAATAAGAATTACTTGTAATCTATATTAAATAAAAAATTATTCTATTCTATACGTAAGCGAATTAAATACCTTAAAAACTAACTTTGGAATTATTCAGCGAGTGAAAGGGACAGCATCATATCAGCAAGGTTGGGTGAAGCCGTGGACTGTGCTTCCCTCTGCTTAGCCGCAGTCTTGGATTGCGCCCACTGAGCCAGCTTCCATGCCTCCTTGCGCTTCGAACTGCCTGATGACTTGTAGTGACCCACTAGATTATTGGCCACCTGGTGACAATTATTACAATTAAAGTCTGTTGTTTGGAAACAAGAAACACACTATTTTTGTAACATAGACTAACGTACGACGACTGTAAAATTTTATTGGACTTTTTTATAATAATATGTATTGCAAAACTTCAATAAAAGCATCATTTTTAGTGGCGCGACATGCCCCAATAACACACATTGTCAATATTATCATGATCCTAGGTGTCGCAGTATCGCAATATTGAAATTGGGCTATTAAATTATCAATAATATAATGGTTTCGCCTTGATTGTAGTAATAACGTGTACCGACAGGTGCGTTTGCGTGTGTCTGCGAATCGTTCGACTCGCGAACGTGACTGAGCGCTCCCGCACGCATCCTAACAAAATGTGTATGTGCACGGCTAACAACAACCACAGTCAAACCTTCATCGTGAAAAAGAATATCTATAACAACAATCCAGCAGAGCATCTTTAGATCAGTTAAAGAACCACTAGAAAATACAATAGAAAGTACAATACTAATTCCAACTCCTAGGTTAGAATCCTAACCTAAGAGTTGGAATTAGTATATTTACGAAACTATAGTATAGTTTGTAGAAATAATATATCGAATTTAATAAGAGCGGGTAGAGTGACCTTGTCAAGTCGAAGGTGAAACCCAACTTTTCTCGCGTCGCTTTCGAAGTGTACAATATAAATAGGTCTGAGTTAAACTTGAAGTTTTTGGATATTTGATAACATTTTAAGTTTTGAATGACCGTATAACAATTTTTTTGAAGTTGATGCTTATAATAACTTTCTGTTTTTGTTGATTTAATAAATAGATCTAATTCAAACCGAAACCTGTATGTGTTTTTTAGGATAGGGGTGAGAATGGAATTTTGAAGGGGTTTCTTCTAGAATATTTTATGTTCGCAGTGCGCAAGTTTATGTTAAAATCAAGTTTTTGCTCAAAAACGCAGACAAAATTACTAATTAATGTTATCATAACCCTGAGAAAATCCACTTTTTTTAATCAAAAACCTGGATTGATTTGGTTTTATGATTAAGAAAATTAAGTAATAGCTTTCTCTTCTTCCGGTTTTTGATCAAATGCCTAGTTTCTTGCCCAAAAATCTGATTTTATCATAAACCTGCGACATATATAATGAGCATGCTATTTGCGACAGACAGTTAGATTTGAAATAATGACGCAAATAAAACTAACTAACCTTTAGATTTGATTTTTTGATTTACGACTGACAGATTTGAAACAACAACCATTTAAATTATCAATAAGTGTCTTAAACCTCTAAACTACTGCTTGGCAGCTTCAATTACATGCCTCGAACGTGAAGCAGAGAGGTGTTTAGAAATCGAATGGCTTTGAAACTATTTGTTCATTAGCATTATAACTTTATTATATGTAGGAAAGGTGTTAATGAAGGAGTCATGTTAGTCTAGCTACGACCTTAAATATACTATTTTAAACTTATTCTACCTTAATACTAATGTATATTTATAATGTACTTATAATTGCTATATACTTACCAAGAATAAGCCTAATAAAGCACGAATGTTGTCAGGATTTAGTTTTAATGTTTGACAGTAGTAGGTTTTTGCTAATTCCATATTTTCCACACCACCCTGTAATTAAATATTTTGATTAATTACATTCATTTTCCAATGCACTGTTCTTATGGTCCCTTCTTCAAAAAAGTTCACATGTCTGTTAGGAATATTGTATGTTATGTTGGAGGAGTGTATTTAAAACGACATGCAGTGACAAGATATGAGATTTATTGATATATATTTTGTTTTTGAATTGTCTCAAAGTTCGGCAAAAACAAAGCGATTCATCGTTTAGACAGACACCAATCACATCATAGTTCGAATTAGTTCTAATAGGCGCTAGTTTTTTAATACGAAAAACGACCAGACAAATGTTCGGACGACCATATTTATACTTTTTATTTCAATGTTTTCATTATATATCGGATATCCCAGAAAGAGTGGATAAATCTGGAGTGCGTAGTCAGTCCCAGCTATGTTTTGCAGCATATGTGTGATTTGAAATTTTACTGGTGTGGTACTTGATCAAACGAAACTTTTTTGCCGAGAGCTATGATAAAAAATTTAAAAAAATCGATTTTTTGTAAATACTAAACTATTTAAAAAATAAAAGCATATTAATTTTTTTTTTGGTAAAATTCCCATCCTTCGGTTTTAAATTAATTTCTCTTTAAGTAAACGGTGTATTTTTTTCAAAGTAGTTTTATTTGAAAGTTAGAAAGATTAACTAGCAATAGAAATTAAAAAAAAAACCTACGATATCAAGCAGGAAATTTGTCAAAAAAATAATAAGATAATTTTTTTTGTTAAAAAAAAACTTTTCTTTTTAATTTTTGTTCTGTAACTTCAAAACTAGTACGTTGAGATAACCTTTTTAGCATGTTTTTATCAAACTACATAACTTACTGTACAAGTTCTCCAAAATAACATGCGTTTATCTCTTTTCGTTTTTAAAATAATAATCATCAAAGAATGCTATCGGTATGTTGATTTGCGCTTATGCGCCGCACCTAACTCTAATTTGAACACTGCTGGTCGAACAATAGCAGGTAAAGACTAAAAGAGATAGATCAAGCGAAACAAGTGAGTGAGAGAGTGAATTGTCGTTTGAATGAGATTTGGGTCTCGTTCTCGTAAGGCATGCAGGCAGCTTTAGCTATTTTAAACAGTTCATCTTGTAACGTTACCTAATTTGCACGTTGAATACGCTCACCATTTTTTTCGTCGTTATGCCTTCTACGATAGACTCATTGTCTTCTCGTGAAGTAGCTGACATTCATTACATTTACGGGTTTTGTGATCTCTCGAGAGTATCATCAGCGATTCCCGACAAGACCTGCCGTTGACTACAGGGTTTTCTTAGCAGTACATCGAGAATTAAGAGAAAATGGACTGCATCGCCCACATCGTGAACGTGCTCCCACTGTACCGGTGGATGTGGATGAACGAAGTGTTGCGTCTGGTGTACCAAGACCCCACAATTAGTACTCGACGAATAGCACTCCAATTGGGGATTAATCACGTCCAAGTGTGGAAAATTTTGAAAAAGGAATGTTTGTACCCCTTTCATTTTCGAAGAGTGCAGAATTTGCACGAGCCAGATTACGTCGGAAGAAGGGTTTTCTGTTCGTGGCTATTGCGGCAGAGACGATTAGTCTCGAAGTTCTGTGACCGTATTTTGTGGACCGATGAGGCAAATTTTAACAGTACTGGAATCACAAATTTTCGAAACCTTCACTTGTGGATGCCGGAGGAAAAAAATCCCTTAGCAGTTCGGCCAGCGTCCTTTCAAATTAATGTTTGGGCTGGAATGATAAGTGATTACTTAATCGGACCATTTATTCTTCCGTCAAGGTTGACAGACCCAGCTTACATAACATTTCTACAAGAAGAGTTACCTGACCTGATGAGTGATGTGGATCTACAAGCAAGGAGCTGGATGTGGTTTCAGCATGACGGCGCTCCAGCTCACTCCAGCACCATCGTGCGTGATTATTTAAACGAACGATACGGAGACCGATGGATTGGACGAGGCGGACCAGTAGCGTGGCCAGCACGAAGCCCTGATATGACCCCCCTAGATTTTTTTGTGGGGCCACATGAAACAGATTGTGTACAGTACAGGCTGCGGCTAGTCAAATAAAAGAAAATCGTACTGTATTAAAGAAAAAACAGTACGTAGTGTGGCATTATATGCAACTGTATGTATGGATGAAAATGGTGGTCATTTTGAAAATTTAATAAATTAAATCATTTTTCTACGGTTTTTTTTTTGTCAATTAAATCTTTATTAAATCTTTTGAATTTTGTGCTCAGATTACCTACCTTATTTTTAGTGATTATCTAACGACAACAGATAGAACCCATGTTATTTTGGAGAACTTGTAGAGTAAATCATGCAGTTTAATAAAACATGCTGAAAAAGTTACCTCAATGTGCTAGTTTTAAAGTTATAGACCAAAAATTAAAAAGGAAACTATTTTTTTAACAAAAAAATTATCTTATTATTGTTTTGACAAATTTCCTCCTTGATATCGTAGGTTTTTTTTTAATTTTTATTGCTAGTTTATCTTTCTAACTTTCAAATAAAACTACTTTGAAAAAAATACACCGTTTACTTAAAGAGAAAATAATTTAAAACCGAAGGATGGGAATGTTACCAAAAAAGAAAATTAAAATGCTTTTATTTTTTAAATAGTTTACATTAAAAAAATCGATATTTTACCAATAATTTTTTATCTAACATATATATATATATATATATATATATATATATATATATACACACCACCCCCGCAAATTAATGAAATTCGTTGCGTTTTTGGTGTTCTCTTACTCCTCACAGACCATTCTATTAGAAATGCAGTAAAGTTTGAGTGATTCTTTAGGTTTTAAATCATAGACTGCTCTTATGGCCGTCTTCTTTAAAACAAATATAGTTTCAGTGTCAATCACGTATCTCCATAACAAAATACCATACAACATCAGTAAAATTTTTAATCTTTTTTACAGCATATGCTGCAAAACTAAGTTAGTTTGCTAGTTTTGATATATGTGGGCCCCACTGTGGCTTCGCGTCTAGTGTGATTCCAAGAAAAATGGTGGTATTGACAAGACGGACAAGAGGATCCGACCTCCCCATGTTTTACATTTGGTGTTTCGTTTCTAATCTGATTAAAGATATAACTTAATATTACACTTTTCTAACAAAATAACTTCCCATGCTGTGAAATTGTCAAATATCTACCCTTTCCTAAATTGTGCCGCGTACTGATTTCAATTACGAAATTCTCAACATAAATAAACTGAGAACATCGTCCATCAATGTAGTCGAAGTCAATTAAATACGCATTATTAAAGATAACTCAAAAACTACTGGTCATATCTTGATCAATTTATATTCATGAGCTGAACCGATGATGAAATTTTTTTATTTGAAAGCTGGTTCTTGCTTTCAGATAAAAAAAGTTCATCATCGGTTCACCTAGAAAAAAGTTCTGAGGAACAACACACATAAAAAATACAGTCGAATTGAGAACATCCCCCTTTTTTTGAAGTAGGCTGTAAATAGTTTTGACTAATAAATGACGAACAAACTACCATTATAATCATTATAATTATGTCACTAACATCATCATCATCATCATCACAGCCCTTCACAAGTCCACTGCTGAACATAGGCCTCCCCCAAGTAATGCCACAAAGCACGGTCCTGAGCCACCTGCATCCATCGACTTCCTGCATATCTTACCAGGTCGTCACTCCATCTAGTGGGGGGTCGCCCTACACTACGCCTACCGGTACGAGGCTGCCACTCGAGAACCTTTCTTCCCCATCGGTTATCGGTTCTTCGAGCTATATGGCCGGCCCATTGCCACTTCAGCTTACTAATCCGTTGGGCTATGTCGGTCAATCTGGTTTTACTGCGGATATCCTCATTTCTGAGTCTATCACGCAGAGAAACTCCGAGCATAGCCCTCTCCATAGCTCGCTGAGCGACCTTGAGCGTCCTCATACGGCCAGCAGTGAAGGACCACGTCTCTGATCCGTAAGTCATCACTGGCAACACGCACTGGTTGTACACTTTAGTTTTCAGAGATTGAGGTATACCTGACGAGAAGATATGTCGTAATTTCCCGAACGCTGCCCAGCCGAGTTGAATCCGTCGATTGACCTCTCGGTCGAAGTTGGACTTACCTAGTCGGACTATTTGTCCCAGGTAAACGTACTCGTCAACAACTTCGAGCATAGTGCTCCCAACAACTACCGGCATAGGTGTGACATGGACATTAAACATAATCTTTGTTTTGTCCATGTTCATCTTAAGACCTATCCGTTGGGAGGCACTATTGAGGTCATTGAGCATAGTGCTTAAGTCCTCCAGCGATTCTGCCATAAGGACTATATCGTCGGCAAATCGAAGGTGAGTGATGTACTCGCCATTGATGTTAATACCGTATCCTTTCCAGTCCAGTAGCTTGAAAACGTCTTCCAAAGCAGCGGTGAAGAGTTTCGGGGATATAACGTCACCCTGTCTTACACCTCTCTGCAGTTGGATAGGTTTCGAGCTCTGGTTCTGTACTCGGATAGTCACTAACATATATATATATATATATATATACATATATATATATATATATATATATATATATATATATATATATATACAACATGTAATATAATTAACGCACTTTGAGAAAGTAGTTTGTTCAGAATCGTTTACTGAATCGATTCCTATAATTTTTAATATAGGTAATTTTTATCCCAAAAATAATTAAAACTACGTAAATTACAGTCACACTAAATCTGTACAGTCAAAACAAACTGAAATGGACCGTAACTTAAGGCAATAAGACTTTTAAGAGTGCAGTTTTATTTGTATTATTACTAATTTTGTCATTGAATAAAAATAAAGAAAAATAAACTTTATTTCAAGCACGTTAAAGTCTTTGCATTCGTGGATTTGTACTGTGACCACAACATTCTTCCAGAATTAGTATAACTAATTTGATAAATAATCAGTGCATATAAATGTTTAACTAAAAATTCAGTGTATGTATTATGATTATAACATAATATACTAATTGGGGTGTCTGAGGGTGTGCGTTAATTACGTTACATATTGTATATATAAACTAGAAACGGAAAAACTTAAAATTAAATCGCCACTTTTCAATGATAATGACACTGTGTGACCATCTACGTGAGCATAAAATTGTTAACCCTCATTGTTTTGGAGGCGTGGCCATATGTTATTTGTATACCTACGTAAAAGACAATTTTTATTTTGGGATAAATATTTTTAATAGGTAATAAAAATGTAAACCTACCATTGTGTAACGGATATCAGCAAGACGCTGGTGCATTAGGTGGTTATGTGGCTGGTGTAGGATCAGTTCCTCGGCACAAAAAGCGGCGCGTCCGTACTCCTGAACTTGTAGGTACAACTCGCAAAGCTCCTGCCAAGCCTCCACGTCTGACATGAATCTGTGGCAAAAAATAGCAATTTTGTATAAACAGTTACATCATATATAAACAACACGTGCGCCGCATAAATGTTTTTCGACGATTTTATCAGTAGGTTAAATTCACTAAGGTCGCTTTCAAGGCGTGCAAAGCATTATGAGCATTGGTAACGTTATAACTAGGTTTAAACTCGCAAGTTTGCTATCAGAGAGTGATCTTTCTGTTCTTGAACTATTATTTATTCTGTGGTACGAGGCACACCAACGTAGAAGATTACCTTTGATACCATTATAGGAATTTTTGTTAAATTAACTACCCCTTGATAAATATGACAGAAAATGCAAAGGGATGCCAACATGTCTTCACAGCGCCAGTGGATTGAGCATTGAAAAGGAACTCGGTGGTCGACGATTTGAGCCACTCTTAGCTGGATGGTCAAGTGGAAGGAGCTGGTATTGGTTTGTCCCAGACCAGACCAGAGTAATAACTTTTTTCAATAGAATAACGATGACAAACAAGCAAACAGTCCACTCTATGGTGAGTGGATGCTGTGGCCCATGGACATCCATATCTATCGTCAATTAAGAATCAAAAGATATGCCTTGTCACCACAGAGGACTAAGATGGAATGGCTCCACACTTACCATACGAAACACAGCAGCATTAAGCTGGTATTTTATGCTGGTATTCAAAATAATTAAATATATAATAAATCTGCAGCTGCTGTATCATGTCTAATCTTAAGTCCAAGGTCAAGGAAAAATAAAATGTAAATAGCCTGATCTTAATTTAAAATTTAATAATTATAAGGCGCCTACAACTTACTTCTTTAAATAGTCCGCCAGTTCCTTGATAGCTTCATTAATATGTCCTTGTGCCTTGAGTACGGCGACCCGTCGCTTTCTTGCAGCGGCATTTGTCTCATCCGCCTTTATGATACTGTCTAGAATGTTCAGAGCTTCGTCATATCTGAAATATAAACCATTATTATAAAAAAAAACACGAAAATACTCTATTTTTAAACGAGCAATTTTTGTACACGTATATATATATATATATATATATATATATATATATATATATATACTATGTAACGTAATTAACGCACACCCTCAGACACCCCAATTAGTATATTATGTTATAATCATAATTCATACACTGAATTTTTAGTTAAACATTTTTATGTACTGATTATTTACCAAATTAGTTATACTAATTCCGGAAGAATGTTGTGGTCACAGTACAAATCCAGGAACGCAGACTTCATTTAACGCGCTTGAAATAAAGTTCATTTTTATTTATTTTTTTTTTTGAATGACAGAATTAGTAATAATACGAATAAAACTGCATTCTTAAAAGTCTTATTGCCTTAAGTTACGGTCCATTTCAGTTTGTTTTGACTGTACAGATTTAGTGTGACCGTAATTTACGTAGTTTTAATTATTTTTGGGATAAAAAATTACCTAACAGTTGGGTTGAAAAGTTCGTATCGTTTTATAGAAAAACACATTTTTTTGGCAAAATTCGATTTTATTATTCAACATAGTTGCCATCGAGGGCGATACACCGATTATAGCGATCTTCCAACTTTTCAATACCATTTTTGTAGTACGATTTGTGTTTAGCCTCAAAATAGGCCTCTGTTTCGGCGATTACTTCCTCATCGGCTTTAAATTTCTTTCCAGCGAGCATTCTCTTGAGATCTGAGAACAGGAAAAAGTCGCTGGGGGCCAAATCTGGAGAATACGGTGGATGCGGAAGCAATTCGAAGCCCAATTCATGCAATTTTGCCATCGTTTTCATCGATTTGTGACACGGCGCATTGTCTTGATGAAACAACACTTTCTTCTTCTTCAAATGGGGTCGTTTTTTCGCGATTTCGTCCTTCAAACGCTCCAATAACGCTATATAATAGTCGCTGTTGATGGTTTTTCCCTTTCCAAGATAGTCGATGAAAATTATTCCATGTGCATCCCAAAATACGGACGCCATAACCTTACCGGCCGACTGTTGAGTTTTTCCACGCTTTGGATTCGGTTCATCGCGTGCAGTCCATTCAGATGACTGCCGACTGGACTCCGGAGTGTAGTGGTGGATCCATGTTTCATCGATTGTCACATATCGACGCAAAAATTCACTTCTATTGCGGTTGAACAGCTCCAAACATTGTTCTGAAGCATCGACACGTTCTTGTTTTTGGTCGATTGTGAGCTCGCGCGGCACCCACTTTGCACATAGCTTTCGCATACCCAAATATTCATGAACGATATGTCCAACACGTTCCTTTGATATCTTTAGAGTGCCAGCTATACAAATCAACCTCAATTTACGATCTTCCAAAATCATTTTGTGGATTTTTTTTATGTTTTCGTCCGTAACAGCCTCTTTTGGACGTCCACTGCGTTCATCGTCTTCGGTGCTCATATGGCCTGTACGGAATTTGGCAAACCACTTACGAATGGTTGCTTCGCCCGGCGCAGAGTCCCGATAACACTCATCAAGCCACTTTTTGGTATCAGCAGCACTTTTTTTCATCAAAAAATAGTGTTTCATTAAAACACGAAATTCCTTTTTATCCATTTTTTTCAAAATAACAAAAATTGCTTCACTCAAAATGCCGTATCTCACAAACTAATAATCAGACAGCTGTCAAATTTATACACGTTTCTTTTGAAGGTTGGTACTACCTAGTGGCGCCATCTCATAGAGACGATACGAACTTTTTAGCCCAACCAATATATTAAAAATGATAGGAATCGATTCAGTAAACGATTCTGAACAAACTACTTTCTCAAAGTGCGTTAATTATGTTACATGTTGTGTATATATATATATATATATATATATATATATATATATATATATATATATATATATATATATAAAATCGGAATCTCGGAAACGGCTCCAACGATTTTCATAAAATTTAGTGTCCAGGTGGTTTCGGGGGTAATATCTATCTAGGATTCTATCTATCGGATCTAGCTAGGATTCATTTTTAGAAAATAACCTCTTGTCCGTGTTTTCTGGCAATGAAAAACTGCTACAATATAAGAAGGTAGATTTTGACAGCGTGTTAACGATCGTAATAGCTTAAGAGGGATATCGGGCGGTCGCAAAATCGGTGTGCCCTGGTTCGCGTCCCGTTTCTGGTCCGACTTTTTTCCTTTTTTTTTTCAAGTTCCCTTCTTTTGTAAGAAAATCTATTGTATCGAGCCCTTTTTTAGTATTTTTTTAAAAATACGAAAATTTAAATTAAACTAATTGCACTCATGAATTTTTATTCAAATAACCAGTTCAGTTTTTTCTATTGTCAATAAGATCAAAAAATATTATTCATGTTTCATCAGTATGTAATTTGTATCTAAATATAATTTACAAAAAAAAACGAGGAAAGCTCGGTCATCCAGGTACTCTAATACCTTTAAACGAGCAATTCTTGTATATGATGTCAAAATTTACCTTCTTATTCTAATGATATTCAAGCAGTTTTTCATTGTCTGAAAACACGAATAAAACGACATTTTCTTGAAATGAATCCTAGCTAGATCGATTTATTGCCCCCGAAACTCCCCAGACACTAAATGTTATGAAGATCGTTGGAGCCGTTTCCGAGATTATATATCATTCATCAGTTCATCCAGGTACTTTTTATAAAATATGTGTGGCAAAGGAGCACACAATCCACAAAAATTTTTTTAGCCCATCCACATCTATTAGTTTAGATTCAAAATGCAGATGCATTGTCACCCTAAGAACTAAGATGGAAAACCTCGTTTCCAGTAAAAAGGTTAAGTTGCTATTTTACTGCTATTCTGTGAGAGTGTGGTCCTTCTCTGTTCGAGCTGATCCAATCGTGCTACAACGATGATATAGCTGCAGCATGGCTCTACCACATACAAAATACATAAGATTTGCTTTAAATTTTCAAATTTGGTTCCGAGTTTTATTTATTTTATTCATCAGTATATAAAAGTTCACTGCTATAGTACGTGCCAAATCGATTGAGAAAAACGGACAATGACCTCAGATATGAGCCGAGTGTCAAAAGGCGCAATTCATAAAATCTCAATATAGATGTGATAACAATATTTAAATATTGATATTATTCACACTTCTAGGTCAGCACATATGTTTTGTTTTTTTGTTTCTTAAATAATATTGTCTGTGGTTCCTATAAACATCGGAAAATCTTACGGTACATCGCGAAAAATGTGTTATATTTTGTATTTAAATTTATGGTAAATAATACAGCAATTCATTTAATAACAGTTTCATATTAAAAAAAAATATTTGAAGAAATATTATCACCATATTGAGCTTTTGCAAATTCATCCTTTTAAAATAAACAAAACGCGCGTTACGTCAGTTCGTTCTAAAAGAAACGTGACAATAGCAGCCAGAGATGCATCACCTTTTTGGGCCGGTAAGCATACACCGAATAAAAATAAAGTTCTTATATAATATTGAAAATAAAGTTTTATCTTTTGAATAAGTACGTACTTATTCGGTGTCGTTATCACTCGAATCTTTATATGTCTTATAAAATAATGGTTTTTGTTGTTAAATGAATAAAGTAATTTATAACAACAATATTAATAATAAATACTTTTATTTCTCAAAAATTTTTAATATACATGTCTTTGAGACGCCCCAGAGAGTAATTTCCATACTCGTATTGGGGATGCCTCGCTCTTCAACCCATTTTACAATTTTATAAGATATAAAATTATTTACATAATTAGTGAGGAAAAAGCTTATAACATAAAAAAAATAGAACATAAAAGAAGATTAAGCTAAATAAACTTTACATACATAACTTGAGTGTGTTTATGTGTGAGAATGTGTGTGTGTGTGTGTGTGTGTGTCGTGTATGTGTGTGCATAATATGTGTGTGTCAGTCTCTTTGGGTGTATGTTACTTATTTACAATAGATGATTTAGATTTTTCTTCTACAGCGATCTTATACATAACTTTTTAATAATAGTTAATAAATATATATTATATCAATCATTATGAAAAATAATAAAAATAATCATTATAAATAAAAAAGTACTACATATAAAATGTATGAAATAATGGCTATATATTGAAGGTTTGTAACCCCTGGTTCAACGACCGAAAGGTCATTGTCCATTTTTTCAATCGATTTGGCACATACTATAGACATTGTTCTATCTCATAAGGAGGAAGGAGTTTGACATAATTCCTATGCCTATGGCTTTTTTAGTACAAGCCCACTGCTGAACATAGGCCTCCCCCAAGGAATGCCACAAAGCACTACTTAACACTGTTATATCGTAAATACAATTTTATCTAAATGAAGCAATACCTAAGTGATATGCAGGATGATCACTATACATACATAGTTATGGACACCAAATATGAATTTCAGCAGGAACTTGCAGTATCTTCCTGATATCAACTTAATGTTATAATAAACTGGGGTTGCTAACCCGCTTGCCAAGTTTGGCAAAATTGTTTTTCAGTATTTCTGCCCAATGATCAAGTATGTTTTTATTAGTTAGTGAAATCATAACTGGCTTTTGTAAGAACTCATTAACCTTTTGAGCGCCAAAGTCGCCTATACTATACAAGCACCTGCGAGCTCTGAGCGCCAACGACGTCTATAGTTGACAAAAAACCCGACCCACAAAAATATGAAATATAGATATTGGAAAGTAATTACTGGTATTTTAATTCTACACTCCTCAAAGAAGAATAACCCGGCAACATGTGAGTATAAAAAACAAGTCTCCTAGAGCCACGACTACAAGAAACATTGAACTAAAAAAAAATGGATTTTTATCTAAGCAAATACCATGTCCAGCACGCCAAAGTCGTCTATGTTTGACCGCTAGTGTTGTAATGCGTTAGGCATAGATTTATTGAAAATTATTCAAAACTAAACGCAAACGTGTTATTTTTTTAAATTATTATTGATATTTGAATAAAACAAAAGGTAAGAA